GAGAGATACGTCTGCTCGTCCGTCGGTGCCACCGTCTCCAACTCAGTGTCTGGACTCGGAGGATACGTCTGCTCGTCGGTCGGTACCACCGTCTCCCACTCAGTGTCTGGGCTCGGGGGATACGTCTGCTCGTCCGTCGGTGCCACCGTCTCCGACTTAGTGTCTGGGCTCGGGGGATACGTCTGCTCGTCCGTCGGTGCCACCGCCTCCGACTCAGTGTCTGGGCTCGGGGGGTACGTCTGCTCGTCCGTCGGTGCCACCGTCTCCCACTCAGTGTCTGGGCTCGGGGGATACGTCTGCTCGTCCGTCGGTGCCACCGTCTCCGACTCAGTGTCTGGGCTCGGGGGATACGTCTGCTCGTCCGTCGGTGCCACCGTCTCCGACTCAGTGTCTGAGCTCGGGAGATACGTCTGCTCGTCCGTCGGTGCCACCGTCTCCGACTCAGTGTCTGGGCTCGAGGGATACGTCTGCTCGTCCGTCGGTGCCACCGTCTCCGACTCAGTGTCTGGGCTCGAGGGATACGTCTGCTCGTCCGTCGGTGCCACCGTCTCCGACTCAGTGTCTGGGCTCGGGGGATACGTCTGCTCGTCCGTCGGTGCCACCGTCTCCGACTCAGTGTCTGGGCTCGGGGGATACGTCTGCTCGTCCGTCGGTGCCACCGTCTCCGACTCAGTGTCTGGGCTCGGGGGATACGTCTGCTCGTCCGTCGGTGCCACCGTCTCCGACTCAGTGTCTGGGCTCGGGGGATACGTCTGCTCGTCCGTCGGTGCCACCGTCTCCGACTCAGTGTCTGGGCTCGGGGGATACGTCTGCTCGTCCGTCGGTGCCACCGTCTCCGACTCAGTGTCTGGGCTCGGGGGATACGTCTGCTCGTCCGTCGGTGCCACCGTCTCCGACTCAGTGGCTGGGCTCGGGGGATACGACTGCTCGTCCGTCGGTGCCACCGTCTCCGACTCAGTGTCTGGGCTCGGGGGATACGTCTGCTCGTCCGTCGGTGCCACCGTCTCCGACTCAGTGTCTGGGCTCGGGGGGTGCGTCTGCTCGTCCGTCGGTGCCACCGTCTCCGACTCAGTGTCTGGGCGCGGGGGGTACGTCTGCTCGTCCGTCGGTGCCACCGTCTCCGACTCAGTGTCTGGGCTCGGGGGATACGTCTGCTCGTCCGTCGGTGCCACCGTCTCCGACTCAGTGTCTGGGCTCGGGGGATACGTCTGCTCGTCCGTCGGTGCCACCGTCTCCGACTCAGTGTCTGGGCTCGGGGGATACGTCTGCTCGTCCGTCGGTGCCACCGTCTCCGACTCAGTGTCTGAGGCTCGGGGGATACGTTTGCTGCGTCCGTTCGGTGGCCCACGTTCTCCGAACTCAGTTTCTGGGCTCGGGAGAATAACATAAGGCTCGTCCCTTCAGTGCCACCTTCTCCGACTCAGTGGCTGGGGCTCGGAGGATATAAAAATTTGTCGTCCGTCGGTGCCACCGTCTCCGACTCAGTGTCTGGGCTCGGGGGATACGTCTGCTCGTCCGTCGGTGCCACCGTCTCCGACTCAGTGTCTGGGCTCGGGGGGTACGTCTGCTCGTCCGTCGGTGCCACCGTCTCCGACTCAGTGTCTGGGCTCGGGGGATACGTCTGCTCGTCCGTCGGTGCCACCGTCTCCCGACTCAGTGTCTGGGCTCGGGGGATACGCTTGCTCGTCCGTCGGTGCCACCGTCTCCGACTCGGTCAGCTGGCACGGCTTTAGGGTTCCGCTTTCCGGTGCATCATGTATTAGAATGTTTTCCATTCTGGCTTCAGATAAAAGCCGAGCACGTGTTGTGGCGTGGTCGACCTGACCGTCGATCGGTATATTTGATTCTTGTTTACCATGGGTTTCCTTGTACCCAGCGTTCCATCCCAAGATCTTTCCGACATACCCGGAGATTGCCTCAGCCTCGACAGCAGAAGTGTAACCGGTCTTCGGGAATTCGCATCCCCACACGTCGTCGACTCCAAGAATACACTCAGCGTCGACTGGGGCAACACACCCTGCACCATTGTAGGACAGTAGGTATGGCTGACAGCCAGCCGTGGCGACGTCGCCGGCCTTGGGGCAGGCGGTGCCTGCAGGTTCGTCTCCGACACCTGAGCATGCTTCTCCGTACGATTCAGGTAGCGAGTACGTAGCGTCGTCGCAGACGACGATCGAGCCGTCAGCGGGTATTAGTGTAGCACTGATCATGCCGCAAAACGTTGCAACCACAACGGACTTATTTGAAAACATAGGTCAATAAGAGGGGGGCGTAGTTGATGTTGCTGCGAATGAGGAAATTGGATAATGGAGTTTTGAAGACCGTGGGCGCAGTGGATTGTTAAGAGTACCATGCAGCGAGAGAGGCGCTAGCAGGATCCGTTACGAAAAACCGTGCTGATTGTGTCACGGTGACAGGTGACGAAGGACCTCTCATTGATGGGATTATGATGCGTCGATTGCGGCGCTTTGACCGTGAAACGATTCCACCACTTTGTCCAAAATATGACGGACAAACTCTTCGAATTCGATACATACACCTTGTACCGTAGCGATCACCTAGCACGTTACACCTTATCACAATTACGATAATTGCTAATATATCATAAGCTTACGCTCTCGGATCCGTGGTGTCTAAATGAGAATAAATTGTTAGCTCGTTAGAAAAAATGAAATAGTGATAAGTAATTTGATTTAAAAGCTGGCTTGAATCTAGCCTGGCGTTTACTCTATGATCTTATTAATATTTGGCTGCACTGAAGAAAAAGGGTGCTCATAGCTGTTCTCTTCAATATTTTTGAAGACGTCATACAGGCTATCAGCTTTTTGTGGTAAAGTGGCCTTCTATTTTTTTTATGTGTTTATCTATTGATGCATTTTAGATTATCAGCTTTTAATGTTCGTGACTCATGAGGTTCGTGACGTTTCTGCAATGTAACCATATTCTTTAGGGGGCGGTTTGTTTCAAGGTCGTCATGTTCGACTATTTACTCATTTATAAAAAACCACTCGCACTCACGGAGCACTGGACAAACCACACCATGCAAGCTAGAAGGCCAAGTGAAAATCCTAAATAAGACTGTGTTTGCGACTTGCGCTGAAATAACATGCTCGACAAAATACAGAGAAAGCGATGAATTATGGGTTTTAGTAGCTTTGTTTCATTATTTCAGATGACTATAAGATCGCTTCAAAATCTGGGGAGTGGATAATGGGATGCTACAAGTTTCTCTGAACTTTTTTATGCTTCGTAAAATGTCGTAAGTGGCGCGACGATTCTCAAAGGTCCGCGACCTCACCGAGTAATTGCCATAAACTCCAATTCTCTCAGACGACCACAGCAGCGATTAAGCCAGCACCTTTCCCAGAACGTCAGCTAACAATCGGTAGACCCTCCACAAGCCATTCACTGGGCCCAAGGTTTACTTGTCGAAAGCTGGTTAGAACGGCCACGCTAGTTCTAATGTCGAATCTAAGTTTGCGTCGTTAAACGGAACTTTACCAACGTATCCAATCGTGCTGCTACATGCATAGCAGCTAAAATACGTCGCGCTCTTTTGTTAATGCACTTGATCGCCGTTGGCTTTTCGATGTTTTTCGAAGCAATAGTACTGACAATGTGTAAGAAAAAACAGCTAGCTCAATAGCTCTAACATGTAGAGAGCCAATCCCGACAACTGGCAAACCCGACTGCAACGCTCTCTCTCGTGCACGAAGCTCAAGTGTCGGATATATGAAGAATAGACAAAAAATGTTTTAAAATGGCCACGCTTGTCGTCTCAAAGTTCTGGTCATTAAGGGGAACCTTCGCCTCTCCAAAATCAGCCGAATTGAGAGCTGCGCGCGCTGCATCCGTAAGCTGGTTCCACATGATGAGATCGTGAAACTCGCCGTCTTGACACGAAAACGTTAGCGCCAACCAGTCAAACTTCTCTACAATCGTATGCGAGACTCTTGTGGATTCGTTGGAGCCGCCAACATAGGTGTAGTTCCAATTCCACCTACTGATCCTGTTCAATCAAATTTCCTGAGTCCCCACGAAGCCGATTGGAGGAACGGCGGTTAGTTTAATGTAGGGGTCTTTAAGAGCGGTCCTCGGGTAGCCGAACACTTTTTGCGGCTCCATAAGTTGCTGCGACAAGGACGCGCCAAGTATATTTGGCTTCTCTAATGCTGGATTCAACCACAACACCATACACGCCCAGTCGTGGCGATCCTGAGCGCTTCCAGCGAAAAAGCTCTTCAGAAAATACCATGCAAACACCATGGCCCACCTATCTTGGTACCGCGTTGATCGGCCAGGTGCTTCCGTGCAGCCGTCCGTCCGATCCGACCCCTTGAACCCTCCAGATAGCTCGCCAGCAGCATTCACCGCATGAAACGAAGCACAGCCGTGATCAATGAACAGTTGTGGCTTGAACTTCACTACAACCTTTTCGGATATCGTAATTGGGTCGAGTGGCTGCACTTGATCATGGTCAAGTGCACAGTCCCCTGGAGACGAACAGCAGTGCGAAGCATAGCTCCAAGACGAGAACGAAATGCATCGCTTTGCACAATGTGTCGATTACTCTAAAATGAGAGCTAAACAGCCGCCGAGAGCCGCATCGGTGCCGGTGTATGAAATTGCTAAAAACGCGACTAAAACTTCAAATCCCAAAAATGGATGTCGTGAAGGTACCATAGTATTTTTTTTTAGTAGCTACCCAAGTGCAGCCCAAAAATTTACAGCGGCACTCCACGATAACAACAACAAAAGAAGCAGGAGCAAAGATAATGAGCAAAACCTTGAGTGCATTATGTCAGAGTGCCGGCCACGACAACTGCTTCTTAATGCTAACATTGAGTTATGTATAAGCTGCGCGAAAAAAGTTTGTGCAAAATGTCAGTGCATTCTTGCGCCTCTTTCGCTTCTGTCTGGTCAGAGTGTGACCACGTTACGATCCATGTTGCCCGCCAGCCAATTCTGTTGATCCTCCTCCCTGTCAGAAGTCGACGTCGTCAACTCGCATACAGAGTCTGAAGATGTTTGGTGGAAGCTGAAGGCATGGCAGATGGGGTCGTTGTAGCACGAGCGGCAGCACGAGTGCCAGGATTGAGAATTACGAGGTCCTGGCGTCGTATTGTAGATACCAGCATTGTTGTAGCGCACTTTGTTCTCCACTCCAATGCCATTAATACCTTGGTTGTCACAGGGTGTGGAGGGCTCATCGGTTGGGAGATCAGTCGGCTCGTCGTGGGCTCATCAGTCGGCTCATCGGAAGGCTCATCAGTTGGCTCATCAGTAGGCTCATCAGTGAATTCCTCCGTATTACAGGGTTTTTCAGTCGACACAGTTGAAGTCGACTCTTCGGCTGGCTCATATGGGGTCTCCTCCATCGGCGCGTACGTTGTTTCCTCGGTCGGCGCGTACGTTGTTTCCTCGGTAGGGGCGTACGTCGTCTCTCCGGTCGGCTCATACGTTGTTTCCTCGGTAGGGGCGTATGGGGTCTCTTCGGTTGGGGCGTACGTGGTTGCTTCGGTCGGCGCGTACGTGGTCTCCTCCGTCGGCCCGTACGTAGTCTCGTCGATCGGCGCGTACATTGTTTCCTCGGTCGGGGCGTAAGTAGTTTCCTCGGTCGGGGCGTAAGTAGTTTCCTCGGTCGGGGCGTACGTCGTCTCTTCGGTCGGCTCATACGGGGTCTCTTCGGCTGGTGCATACGTGGTCTCCTCCGTCGGCGCGTACGTGGTCTCTTCGGTCGACGCGTACGTTGTTTCCTCGGTCGGGGCGTAAGTAGTTTCCTTGGTCGGGGCGTACGTCGTCTCTTCGGTCGGCTCATACGGGGTCTCTTCGGTTGGTGCATACGTGGTCTCCTCCGTCGGCGCGTACGTGGTCTCTTCGGTCGGCGCGTACGTTGTTTCCTCGGTCGGGGCGTACGTCGTCTCTTCGGTCGGCTCATACGGGGTCTCTTCGGCTGGTGCATACGTGGTCTCCTCCGTCGGCGCGTACGTGGTCTCTTCGATCGGCGCGTACATTGTTTCCTCGGTCGGGGCGTAAGTAGTTTCCTCGGTCGGGGCGTACGTCGTCTCTTCGGTCGGCTCATACGGGGTCTCTTCGGCTGGTGCATACGTGGTCTCCTCCGTCGGCGCGTACGTGGTCTTTTCGGTCGGCGCGTACGTTGTTTCCTCGGTAGGGGCGTAAGTAGTTTCCTCGGTCGGGGTGTACGTCGTCTCTTCGGTCGGCTCATACGGGGTCTCTTCGGTTGGTGCATACGTGGTCTCCTCCGTCGGCGCGTACGTGGTCTCTTCGGTCGGCGCGTACGTTGTTTCCTCGGTGGGTGCGTACATAGTCACCTCAGTATCGCAAGGTTTCTCGATATGTGCATAATGCATTCTCTCTGTGGGAGCGTTGGTTTCACTCTTGGTCGGAGCGTAAGTAGATTCTTCCGTGACATACGTTGTCTCCTCCACATCGTAAGGTTTCTCTGTAGGCGCATAAGGTGTCACCTCACGGGGAGCATAGGTTGTGTCCTCGCTGGGTGCAGCAGTTGTTTCCTCCCTAGGAACGTAAGTTGTACCTTCGGTGGGTGCCTCTGTCTCGTCGCTAGGCTCATAACCTCCAGTCACGTGCTGGCCTTCCGTTTCTTCGGTAGAATAGTCTACCGTCGGCGTAGTAGAATACTCTTCACGTGTGCCGGCATCGTAGCCTCCAGCACCTTCCGTGGTCTCGTGGGTATTGTCGACAGTCGTGTACCCTCCGGTAGTAGTACCGCCGTCCGTGGTCGTGCCATAGCCACCGGGGGTTGTTCCATCCTCAATAATCTCCGTGATGCCGGTTGGGTAGTCAAGATATGTCTCGCCATCGATCACCTTCGCATCGGTAGGGCCGTAGCCACCCTTGGTCACGCCCTCCGTGGTTGTTGAGCCATAGTGGATGGTGTTTCCATAGTCGCCAGTTTGCGTGCCAGTAGACGGAGTATCATAGTACTTACCACCTTCCGTTGCGTGACCTTGAGTCGCTGTCTCCGTTGCAACTTCACAGTTGACACCGATTGGCGTATCGACGGTCGTGTCGTAGTTGACTCTAGCTGGGATTTCCTCCTCCTCATCTCCAACTTGGACGACTTCGTCATGACCGGTCCCCCAGCCAGAGCTTTCCCCGTTATACGCCGCGATGGTCTCAGCCTCGACTGCAGACGCGTAGCCCGTCTTGGGGAATTCACAGCCCCACACGTCGTTTGAATGAGAATGCACTCGGCATCGACTGGAGCGACGCACACTGCGCCATTGTAGGACAGAAGATATGGTTGGCAGTCGGAGGTGGCGACATCACCGGCCTTGGGGCAGGCGGTGCCTACAGGTTCGGCTCCGACACCTGAGCACGGAATGCCACAAGACTCCGAGAGCGAGTAGGTAGCGTCGTGATACACGGCGATGGGAACGTCAGCGGACACGAGACCGGCCGTGATGATGCCGGCTAACGCCGCAGCCTTGGCAGGTTTCCTGGAAACCATTGAAGGTCGATTGACTGGGAAGGTTGATATCGGTGTTGCCTCCAATGAGGAAATTGGGGAATGGGTCGAGTCACTGAGCGACTTGAGCGTAGCGAATCGTCAAGGGCGCTAGGGAACGATACGAGCTTCCAGCAACGCGCAAGTTCGTGTTGCGGGTGAACCCACTTGAGCAAGATGACCCTTTCACTGCACTGGACTCTTCTTCGAAAAACTATGTCGCGAAACGGCTGTGCGTGTTATGGAAATGAGTCATCGCCTCAATGATAATAGTACATACTATTGTCTCTTTGTCTTCACATGATAATTCGATTCTCTGGTCAGAATAATCCATTATTGCCAGAAAAAAACTGTGGAAATGCACTTAACTCATACAGTAATTTAGCGTGAGTTCCTCTCTTCTGGGGTGTCACGCTGCACGGCATGGCGATTAGCGTTAGAAAGTGGTGTACGCCTCGTTCAGAGGCGCTCTTGTTGTCAGTTCTGGCTTTCGAAGCTTGCAAATTCGGCCATTCAAAAATTAGCCAATCATGCCCCAGTAAAAATAAGGGAGGATAATCATGTTTTAACCCAGAATTGGGCTAAATAGCTTGACAAAAAAGCTCAAGCGATTTAAGAAATTCTATTGAGAAACCGTCGTAGAATTAGCAGTTTCGCTTGCGCCAGTTCATGAAACGAGTGTCCTTTAGCGCCGTCTGAAATTCAGACTGAGTGGGTTCATGGATCTTAAAAATAGTCTAGCCGACATGACAACAACAGGTAAGCTCAAGTCTCAAACCAACTATGAACTGCTTTCTTTTTCGTCTCCTGTAAAACTGTAGCTCTCTATATTAGGCGGCCAAGTCGGTGGAAAGACGATCGACAGCTAGCAATGTTGGAGCGTGAGTCATGACCTTCTTTCTTCTTTCTGCAAACGGAGACTCTACCGCTGAAAGGACACTAATTTCTCTGGACCTTTCCACCGTTTCACCCGCTTCATGATGTCAGTACTACTGACTCAGTAGTAAATGACGTACTAGCACGTGGACGACGACTCCGGTATTCGCAGTTCTCAGCTCGTGCAGTACTGACTAACCGCTCCCATCGCTCCTACTTACCGTCGCTAAAACGATTTGAGTGTGGAATATCTTTCAGACTGGATTGACTTCCAAAAATGACAAAATGGCGTCTTAAGTCAATCAGAACATAAATTATTATTAGTGTCGATCTTAGAATGTCACTTATGTTAGATTTATTCCCGAGTTGTGCTTGCGATGCTTTTGATGACTTCCAAAATATGCACAAGCTGTGAGATCGTAAAACGGCAACAGCTCACGTTGTTGCTCTGCACTCCGTGCCGCTTGGCGTTTTTCAAGAGCATAAGCATACCCAGCAAGCATGAATCTCTCGGCTGACACGCGTATCTTCGCTGGAGACCCATAAGATGCATAAAAGAAAAGTCCGTATCCATTTAAAAGCCCCTCTGCAAAATCGCTAACGTTTAGGGGAATGGGTACTATTTGGCAGAATCCGCTACATGTGTATTAATCGTGACTCAGATGCGGTGCCTTGGCAATGCAGCTTTGTCTAATGGCACGTGACATGCTGTCGTTTGAGAGCGTCACAAAGAGTGCGGTCAGCACTACAGCGAGTAGCCCCCACGCTGAAGCATTGGACCGTGTCCGTCTTTCGGTCAATGGTACCCTCGGTCTCACGACAGGCTTCTCGTCGCCAAAACCGGCACCATTCTTCTCATGAGCACTGATCGCCTGCTGCCTCACGACGCCTTCCACTTCTTCGTCGCCCATTTCCACCATCTCTCGAGCAACGTGTCGGTCTTGACGTGCAGCCTTAATTGGTTGTGCTGGAAGAGGAGACGGGGCACGCATTTTCCAGCCATCACCCACGATTTCTTCCACTTCGGAGGCGTTGGAATAGGGAACCCAATGGAGTTGGCCACACGAGTTGGACTCGTTCATAAATCCGTCAAAGCTCATGTTGGCGAACGTCATGAACTGTTGGAAGGAGCGTGCGGTACCGAACTTGTACTTGTCGAGTTCAAAGGCATCCACGGGTCCTTTAAAGCCCAGTCCAACGCGAAGACGAACACGGTTGTGGGTCATTTCGGAGTCCAACGCCTTGACGGCCGGATCAACTGGAGACTCCCAGAAACTCGCTGGCTTTTTCGAGTAATTATGATACAGTACGTTGCCAATCTTACTGGGCGAGTACAGGTCGTAGCCGTGCGTCCAGTAGTCGGCAGAACGCAGGAACTCCTCGCCATCCCAGAGCCAAGGGGTGTGGGAATCCACGGGCACATTTCGCTCAGCGTGGCACTTGCTGAAGGATAAGCCACCACCCCAAAGCGCCGACAGCTGCGGGAAATTGGCGTTGCGCTTGATACTGGCTCCGACGATCCGCGTCAGGCCGTTCCCGCCTTTGATCGTTGTGCACAAGTGAGGGATCCAATCCGGTGCATTATTGTCTCCATTTTCCTTGACAAAGTCGTGGATATCGTGCGGATACACTGACAGTACAGCCATCTCGTTGTTGATACGTTTCCACTCGTCTAGCATGATCTCGTCCCATCGATTGGTGAAGATACTGTGGCCATCCACCTGAAGACAGAACTCTTCGTCGCCAATCATTTCTTGCTGCTGATGACGCGCCGTAGTGCACCCCGAAGCTTCCGCTGCAGGTCTGGGAGTCACTTGAATCTGGACTTTATAGCGACACCCAGTGTAGTCTGGCCATTGCGCTAACGCTAGCTTGCAGTATTCGTCGAGACAGCTTGGGTCTCCTTCCACCAGTTGCTCCAGAATCCCAAACCGAAGACGTCCGGGGTTAACAGCTCTTTGCAACGCCGTAAAGAGGGTCTTGCCGCATCGTACACCGTCCCGGAAGACGGAAGAACCGACGTGGATCTCGAAAGTGCTGGGGATCTTGGCTGCTGGTGGGCGTAGACTCTTGTAGTGTGGATCCAGCGGAATATGCTGCACACTCGGGTCCAGATCCAGGTATGTGGTCGTCCCCAGGACGTTGATAGCAGGTTTGCCGTCGCCGTAAGCGCCTACAGCCCCTAGCAGCAGCGTTAGCCCCAGAGATCGCAAATGTTTCATGGAGAGCTGGGAGGGTTATCGAAAGTCCGAGAATGGATGGAGCGCCTAGGGACACGCGAGTTGAAGGAGCGCGATCCTTCCGCGCTTCGTTTCCGGCGTTTGGGCTCTTTCTTAGGAGCGACCCTAGTCAGCGCCTCATCCATTTTAGCTCGAGGAGTGATGCTCGCGGCCAAGACTCCCAGGATCTCGTCTTCCCCTTTCGAACATTTCACAATCTCCAGTGTCCAAGGCGAGAGTAAAGCCTCCCACTGTCCCAAACACCCTTGTAACCCGGCCGACTTGAACAGCCAGGCTAGCGTAGAGTGTCGGGTCAGGATCCGGATGGAGAATTTATTGTTAATCTATGGCGTGGCCTGCTTTGTTCTTCATGTTCACGCAGATTCTACGACGAATGGCACTGGATTTTGCATCGGTCGAGAGCGTCACGAACACAACAGCCACAACGAGAACAATGATGATGCCAGCTGGCACATTAGCTCCCGACCTCATCTCGAACAGACTCGGTGCTTCTCCATGCCGCAGTTTTGCTGCCATAGCGTGGTCGAGTGGGTTGTCTATTGCTGCCGCGTTCTTCACTTGGGCTGCCGCTACTTGGTGCTCGGGATCCTCGTTTGTTTCCAATCTCACGTTGTCCTTAGTCAGCGTTGATAGCCGTTCAATTGCTTCTCCATTGCCAAAAATCGGCTCTGGGTCCTCGTACTCGCGCTCGTTGCCATCGTCCCCGTACAATTTCCAGCCACGACCCACAATTTCCTCCACCTCCGTGGCATTCTCGTACGGGACCCAACGTAGCTGACCGCAGGCGTTGGTGTCATTCATCCAGCCCTCGAACGAGATGTTGGAAAACTTGAGATAGCTCTCAAAAGAACGCACTTTACCGAAATCGTACTTGTCGAGTTCAAAAGTATCAACGTATCCCTTGAACGGCATCCCGATGCGAAGACGAACACGATTGCGGCCCATTTCACCGTCGAGGCTCTTCTTCTTCGGATCCATCGGGGACACCCAGAAGTTGGCGGGTTTCTGGGAATAATTGTGGTACAACACGTTGCCCAATCGACTGGGCGAGTACAGATCGTAGCCATACGTCCAGTAGTTCGCAGAGCGCATGAACTCCTCACCATCCCAAAGCCACGGCGTGTGAGAATCTATCAGTACTCTGCGCTCTGCATGGCACTTGCTGAACGAGTAGCCCCCACCCCACAGCGCAGCCATTTGAGGCATCCACGAGTCACTAATCACAGCGGCTCCGTCGATACGCGTAAGGCCGTTGCCTCCTTTGATTACAGAGCACAAATGTGGGACCGAGTTGATGACGTTGTTGTCCCCGTTCTCCTTGATCATGTCCTTGTGTGTGTTGTGCGGGTATATGGTCATGACGGCCATCTCATTGTCAATGACAGCCCAGTCCGCAAGGATGTTCTCGTCCCAGCGATTGGTAAACACACTGTGGCCGTCGACTTGCAGACAGAACTCTTGATCCCCCACGAGCTTCTGCTGCAGATGACGCGCAGTTGTGCAGCCGGCAGACTCGGCTGCGTCACGCGTGTCGATGGTGATCTGGTGCTTGTAGCGGCACTCCGTGTCTTCTGGCCACTCCTCTGCAGCCATTTTGCAGTATTCATCCAAGCAAGTAGGGTCTCCTTCGTAGATTTGCTCCAGGATCCCAAAGTGGAGACGCTCCGGGTACGTCGCTCTTTTCAGCGCAGTGAAAAGTGTTTTACCGCAGCGATAGCCATCTCGGAAGACCGAGGACCCCACAAACATTTCAAATGTTTCTGGGATATGGGCTGGAGGAGGTCGCAAATGAGTTTTTTCTTCGTCGAGAGGAATGTGCTGCACCCTCGGGTTCAGTTTCAGTGACTTTTTCCAGTTATCCCATATGACAGTGGAGTAGTTAACCGGTTTGTTTGGATTTGGGTCTGGAGAAGCCGCTGCGAGCGCCAGAAGTGTAGCGGTAGACAAGAAGCGCAGCATGGGCATGTGCTTCTGAGACGAAAATTGCAGACTGAAGAAGCGCGAGCTCACAACGTCGACTCGGTGGGGGCCGCTGACCTTTGGGGAGTCGTCGTCCACGTACTAGTACGTCATTTACTACTGACATCATGAAGCGGGTGAAACGGTGGAAAGGTCCAGAGAAATTAGTGCCCTTTCAGCGGTAGAGTCTTCTTTTGCAGAAAGAAGAAAGAAGCTCATGACTCATACCCTAGCATTGCTAGCTGTCGATCGTCTTTCCACCGACTTGGCCGCCTTAAAAAGAGAGCTACAGTTTAACAGGAGACGAAAAAGAAAGCAGTTCATAGTTGGTTTGAGACTTGTGCTTACCTGGTCGGCTAGACTATTTTTAAGATCCACGAACCCACTCAGTCTGAATTTCAGACGGCGCTAAAGGACACTCGTTTCATGAACTGGCGCAAGCGAAACTGCTAATTCTACGATGGTTTCTCAATAGAATTTCTTAAATCGCTTGAGTTTTTTGTCAAGCTATTTAGCCCATTTCTGGGCTAAAACATGATTACACGTCCAATCCTCCCTTATTTTTACTGGGGCATGATTGGCTAATATTTTTGAATGGCCGAATGTGTTTTGCAATCTTTTGGCAGCCGAACGCTCGCGCCAGAACTGACAGCAAGCGCGCCTCTGAACGAGGCGTACACCACTAGCTAACGCTAATCACCATGCCGTGCAGCCGCGACACCCTAGAAGAGAGGAACTCACGCTAAATTACTGTATGAGTTAAGTGCATTTCCAAGGTTTTTTTTTGGTAAAAATGGATTATTCTGACCAGAGAATCGAATTATCATGTGAAGACAAAGAGACGATAGTATGATACTATTATCATTGAGGCGATGACTCATTTCCATAACTCGCACAGCCGTTTCGCGACATAGTTTTTCGAAGAAGAGTCCAGTGCAGTGAAAGGGTCATCTTGCTCAAGTGGGTTCACCCGCAACACGAACTTGCGCGTTGCTGGAAGCTCGTATCGTTCCCTAGCGCCCTTGACGATTCGCTACGCTCAAGTCGCTCAGTGACTCGACCCATTCCCCAATTTCCTCATTGGAGGCAACACCGATATCAACCTTCCCAGTCAATCGACCTTCAATGGTTTTCAGGAAACCTGCCAAGGCTGCGGCGTTAGCCGGCATCATCACGGCCGGTCTCGTGTCCGCTGACGTTCCCATCGCCGTGTATCACGACGCTACTTACTCGCTCTCTGAGTCCTGTGGCATTCCGTGCTCAGGTGTCGGAGCCGAACCTGTAGGCACCGCCTGCCCCAAGGCCGGTGATGTCGCCACCTCCGACTGCCAGCCATATCTTCTGTCCTACAATGGCGCAGTGTGCGTCGCTCCAGTCGATGCCGAGTGCGCTCTCATTCAAGACGACGTGTGGGGCTGTGAATTCCCCAAGACGGGCTACACGTCTGCAGTCGAGGCTGAGACCATCGCGGCGTATGACGGGGAAAGCTCTGGCTGGGGGACTGGTCATGACGAAGTCGTCCAAGTTGGAGATGAGGAGGAAGAAATCCCAGCTAGAGTCAGCTACGACACGACCGTCGATACGCCAAACGGCGTCAACTGTGAAGTTGCAACGGAGACAGCGACTCATGGCCACACAACGGAAGGTGGTAAGTACTATGATACTCCGTCTTCTGGCACGCAAGCTGGCGACTATGGAAACACCATCCACTATGGCTCAACGACCACGGAGGGCGTGACCAAGGGTGGTTACGGCCCTACCGATACGAAGGTGATCGATGGCGAGACATATCTTGACTACCCAGCCGGCATCACCGGTACTACTACCGGAGGGTACACGGCTGTCGACAATACCCACGAGACCACGGAAGGTGCTGGAGGCTACGATGCCGGCGCACGTGAAGAGTATTCTACTACGCCGACGGTAGACTATTCTACCGAAGAAACGGAAGGCCAGCACGTGACTGGAGGTTATGAGCCTAGCGATGAGACCGAGGCACCCACCGAAGGTACAACTTACGTTCCCACGGAGGAAACAACTGCTGCACCCAGCGAGGACACAACCTATGCTCCCCGTGAGGTAACACCTTATGCGCCTACAGAGAAACCTTATGATGTGGAGGAGATAACATATGTACCCACGGAAGAATCTACTTACGCCCCCACCAAGGGTGTAACCTACGCTCCTACAGAGAATGTACATTATGCACCTACCGAGAAACCTTGCGATACTGAGGTGACTATGTACGCCCCTACCGAGGAAACAACGTACGCGCCGACGGAGGAGACCACGTATGCACCAACCGAAGAGACTCCGTATGAGCCGACCGGAGAGACGACGTACGCCCCGACCGAGGAAACTACTTACGCCCCTACCGAGGAAACAACGTACGCGCCGACCGAAGAGACCACGTACGCGCCGACGGAGGAGACCACGTATGCACCAACCGAAGAGACCCCGTATGAGCCGACCGAAGAGACGACGTACGCCCCGACCGAGGAAACTACTTACGCCCCGACCGAGGAAACTACTTACGCCCCTACCGAAGAGACCACGTACGCGCCGACGGAGGAGACCACGTATGCACCAGCCGAAGAGACCCCGAATGAGCCGACCGAAGAGACGACGTACGCCCCGACCGAGGTACACCCCTACCGAGGAAACAACGTACGCGCCGACCGAAGAGACCACGTACGCGCCGACGGAGGAGACCACGTATGAGCCAGCCGAAGAGTCGACTTCAAATGTGTCGACTGAAAAACTCTGTAATACGGAGGAATCCACTGATGAGCCTACTGATGAGCCAACTGATGAGCCTTCCGATGAGCCTACTGATGAGCCTACCGACGAGCCGACTGATCTGCCAACCGATGAGCCCTCCACACCCTGTGACAACCAAGGTATTAATGGCATTGGAGTGGAGAACAAAGTGCGCTTCAACAATGCTGGTATCTACAATACGACGGTAGGACCTCGTAATTCTCAATCCTGGCACTCGTGCTGCCGCTCGTGCTACAACGACCCCATCTGCCATGCCTTTAGCTTCCACCAAACATCTTCAGACTCTGTATGCGAGTTGACGACGTCGACTTCTGACAGGGAGGAGGATCAACAGAATTGGCTGGCGGGCAACATGGATCGTAACGTGGTCACACTCTGACCAGACAGAAGCGAAAGAGGCGCAAGAATGCACTGACATTTTGCACAAACTTTTTTCGCGCAGCTTATACATAACTCAATGTTAGCATTAAGAAGCAGTTGTCGTGGCCGGCACTCTGACATAATGCACTCAAGGTTTTGCTCATTATCTTTGCTCCTGCTTCTTTTTGTTGTTGTTATCGTGGAGTGCCGCTGTAAATTTTTGGGCTGCACTTGGGTAGCTACTTCAATAAAAAAAATACTATGGTACCTTCACGACATCCATTTTTGGGATTTGAAGTTTTAGTCGCGTTTCCAGCGATTTCATCTACCGGCACCGATGCGGGTCTCGGCGGCTGTTTAGTTCTCATTTTAAAGTAATCGACACATTGTGCAAAGCGATGCATTTCGTTCTCGTCTTGGAGCTATGCTTCGCACTGCTGTTCGTCTCTCGGGGACTGTGCACTTGACCATGATCAAGTGCAGCCACTCGACCCAATTACGATATCCGAAAGGGTTGCAGTGAAGTTCAAGCCACAACTATACACTAAATACGGCTGTGCTTCGGTTCCCGCGGTGAATGCTGTTGACGAGCTATCTGGAGGGCTCAAGGGGTCGGATGGGACGGACGGCTGCACGGAAGCAACTCTAGGGTCTCAGCTGTACGGCCGATCAACGTGGTACCAAGACAGGTGGGCCATGGTGTTTGCATGGTATTTTCCGAAGAGCTTTTTCGCTGGAAGCGCACAGGATCGCCACGACTGGGCGTGTATGCCGCTGTGGTTGAATCCAGCATTAGAGAAGCCAAAGATACTTTGCGCGTCCTTGTCTCAGCAACTTATGAGCAGGGGTACGTAAAAACTAAGGCCATTATGTATAGAATCGGCGATCAATTGCATTAACAAAAGAACGCGAAGTATTATAGCTTCTAAAGCAGCACAATAAGGTACATTGGTAAAAATTTCTCTGCTACTACTACAATCGTGGTATCTTGTAATTTCTCCTCTATAGCCAACTTGGAGTACTCGTCCGATCGTCTCCGTTTACTTACTCGAGGAGGAGTCCGGGTACGCTGCTTCAGAAGCAAAATGTGATTTACCGTAGCAAAAGCTGTGATGATGACTGAAGGGTCCCGCAATGAGTCAAAAAATATTGCCGAAGGCGGTTACTAAGCTCTGGGGTTCATCTTCAGCGACGTGGTCCAGTTGTACGGTGGAGTTTTTCCGGATCTGGAACAAAGGCTGCCACAACCAGAAGCACACCAGTCTTCTGATATCACGATCTGGTCCTGTGGGCGAGGATATGGTGATTGTAGACTGAAGGGTCAATCTACGAGCCTACGACAATGACTCGGTGGGGTCTGAAACATTTTGTCTCCTAGGTACATTTTTTTTTACGAAACGGTAACAAGAGTAGCCAGTCGAGTTTGTGAATTCTGTCGTGTAGAAAACCAGAAAGCAACTGAGGACATTATTTAAGCTCCTACTCTATCTAATAGAAATGAGACCCGTACAAAAAAATAGAGCTCTTGAGCTCTTGACCCCCCCCCCATACACACAAAGCATTGCTCCTAATCTCTGATTCTGTTGTCTACGTTTCATGACAAATGCTCGTGAGTTTGAAGCTGAAATCTTCTGGACGGCGTGTTGGTGTAGCCATCTTGTCTTCATTGGTAGAATTGTTTCTTCACGTCGATGGTCAGGAAAAACCGCTATAAATCATCCACAGTTTCGCTACTAATAGTGAGGATCTACACTGACGTTTGCTGTTTCTGAGGTGCGGTTGACAATTTAGGATTAAGGTGCGTGACGAAAACATGAAACATATTTGCGCCAAAAGCAAAGATACTGAAGACTTGTGAT